ATCGGGCTATGGCAAAACCTTGTTTCCACATGGATGACAAAAAGCACGGCGATGTCGATTTAAAAGATGTCATAGCCTCTAAAGATTTCATGGCAGAGATGGATTGGGTTGGCGGCGATAAGATGGGAATCATTGGCGGCAGTTATGGCGGCTATATGGTGGCCGCAGCCCTCGCGTTTGAACCCGATGAATTTGATGTCGGCGTGAATATCTTTGGAGTGACGAATTGGGAACGAACCCTAAAGTCCATACCGCCATGGTGGGAGAGCTTGGTGGGTGGGAAGGGTATGTTTGTTGGGTTGACATTGTAATTGGTTCGAGCCATTGAGAGTACAATGTAATTTCAAGTGGAGTGTTGTAGTTGTGCTCATACTGTAGTTTGTTCGTAGATTGGAATTGGAAGATGATAATTGCGAGAAAACGCAGCTTTTCGCCCGCGATCAATTACAATCGGTAGTGTAATTGGTTGAGAGCATTTGATCGACGGGGTAACTACAAGCAGGGCCATGTAGTTGGGATGCGAAAGTGGAAGGAGCGCAAATTAAAAACTTCCGATCGCAATTCAACCCCTCGCAATTATGCGGCGATCAATTACAAACGCCTTGCCCAATCAGCCAGGTCACGCTGGTCGTGCCCCTCTGCCCCCTCGCAATACCGAATCGCGCCCCCTTCCATCGATGCATTTCAACCGCCTCTCCCCCCCCCCCCTTCCCCCAAACCTTTAACCCGCAGCAGCCCTCCCCCCTCCACCCCCATGACTTCCTCTTCCTCCTCGCCCCACCTCAAACAATAGCATGCCCCCCTTCGCGTCGGGCCCCGTGCCCGCTCTGGCCCTCTCGCCCTGCGGCACGCGCGTCGTCGCGGCTGCGGCGCACGACCACATCTCTCTCCTCACTCTGCCTGCGTCCCCCTCCGCCCCCCTGACCAGCCTCGCGCTTCCGCCCGCGCCCGCGCTCTTCCCCGTGCTGTCTGTCACAGCCCTGTGCTTCCCGTCGTCCTCGGCCGTGTACACCGCCGACGCGCGCGGCTCGTTCAAGCGCCTCGCCGCCTCGGACGGCCTCGCCGAGCAGTACACCGTCGCCGCCGCCCATTCCGGCGACGAGCTCACGGCCATCGCCGCCCTTTCCGACTCCTCGCCGGTCGCCACGTCGGGCAAGGACGGTGCCGTGCGCCTTTGGGACCCGGAGACGCGCCAGTCCATCGCCAGGCTCACGGGGCATCGCTACGAGGTGCGCGACGTCGCCGTCGCCTCTTCGAGCGACTCTGCGGGCGCCGCCGTCACCGTCGTCGCCTCGGCGGGCCGCGACAAGACCGTCCGCCTGTGGGACGTGCGCGCAAGCTCCGGAAAGGAGGTCCACTGCTTGCGTGGCCACGCCGGCTGGGTCCATGCCGTCGCATTGGGCAACGCCCCTGGGGGGCCGATCGCTCTCAGTTGCGGAGGTGATAAGACAGTCAGGGTTTGGGATCTCACTGCTATGAAGGAGCGCATGGTTATGCGCGGGCATGAGTATCGCGTGTGGGGCCTGGCCTTGGCGAGTGATGCGGCCTTTGCGATTACGGGCTCTACGGATGCCACTGTTAGGGCGTGGAACCTGGGAGAGGGTGAGGGCGCGGGCGACTGTCATGTGTATGAGGGGCATACCGACTCGGTACTGAGTGTGGATGTTGCCAGGAATGGCGTGTTTGCTGTTTCCGGGTGTGAGGATGGCGCCTTGTTTATGTGGGATTGTGCTACGCTGTTTGGGAGGGACGCGAAGAAGGAGGTGCACACGGAAACGCTTATTGATGTCGCGCCTGTTCCGAAGCTCGTCGAGAAGGAGGCCGTCACGAAGAGCGTTATAGCACCGAAGCAACTCGATACGGAACCTTTGATTGTAGAAAAGCAGATGCCGGAGGAGAAGCTGCCTGTGCTTCGTGAAACAAAAATCGCTTCCCCGTTCAGAGTCTCGACAACGCCGGCCTTTACTGCTTCCCCTCGCAGAGCTCCCATAACATTGGTTTCTGATGCAATACCAGACACGGGTATGACAACCGATGGGTTGAAGGCCGCTGCTTCCGTCACTGTTGACCAGGAACCCAAATTTGACAAGTCCGCCGCAGAGCTTGTAAACGCTTTGAGACGAATCAAGGACTTGGAAACAGCGCTTGCCGAATCCAAGGAACAGCTGGAGAGCCGGAACAGGGAAATAGCTTCACTGAAGAAGAGCACACTCGAGAAGGACAATGAGCTGTCTCTTCTTCAACGACAAATCGATTCTTCGAAGAATCTTATCAACGCTGCCAATGTACGGGCAATCCTGGCTGCAAACCCGAGAAAGGTAGACGAAAGCCTTGACTACGAGGAACCTGTTAACAAGATCGGCGCGGTTTCGGACAAGCTTAGCGCCCTCGTGGCAAGACTGGATGCAATGGTGGCCACACATTAATTGTGACAATGCCCTGCAGCAGAAGAGCTCCGTTTAACTGAGTATTGTAAGAAAGCATCTGGCGAGGGAGGGGAATGGGGTGCAGTACTCTTATGCCTTTATATATATTAATCAACAATCACTACAATGGATACACTTTTTGACTCAGACTCTAAAAGAGATAGCAATTTTCCAATTTTCCGTTGCGCCAAATGTAGTCAGCCTGTATTGCCTAACTTCGAACTGCAAAAGGAGCAAACATGTGAAGCTGAGCAGCTTTTGTAATGCAAAAAGCGTGCGAACGTTTTTTTTTTTTTATGTACCAGGAATTGTCTATACAGCACATGAGGAATTAGGCTCCCCCGTAGGATACACGTATGGGCTGAAAACAGCGTCACTCCTCTCGAATTATTACGAGGCAGGAGAGGAGACGAGAGCACCGCCCTTGTATTTCGTTTCTGTAAGCACCTCTGACGTTCGGATACAAGGTGAGAAAACTTCAAACTTCTGCCCCATGACGGCATGGTGAGCAGAATCAAAAGACTGCCATTTGCAGGATGATATGGGACGCGGACGTTCGATGTGAAAGATCTGCATACGTGTTTTTGAATCTGTTCCGCAAAGTGAAAATAAAGAAGCCATTTTGAACATCTCTAATATAAGATGCATTCTTGTTTACATGCTCCACCGCCTTCCATGGGTCAGACAACTGACACTGGTGATGTTCTGCTACATGAAAGATTATTATGCAATATCCGCAGGCAAGAAATTCTCTGAAGTGAGTGGCGTAATGGGCAGTGTAGGTAACCTTTCACAGTGGTAGCTTTTTCATCTACAGGATATCGTTTTCTTATCATTCAACACTTTCAAATGCTTTTCTACAAACTTCGTTCGATAAAGAATATCAACCACTGCTTCTCATCGTCGTTCTGATTCTTGCGGGGTTGCGGGGTTTGACTTTTTCCATTATCAAACCGAAGACTGAAGATATCTCTCTATGTGTGAAGGGCTGCTGAGTTTGTTCCCCAAAACCATCCGTGCAACCCAACATTCCGACCAAAGAACCGCACAGGTCGCCATTTTCTTGCAATAGAATAAGGCATCATGTCTCGTAGGGCGAAGCGAGATGAGGTCAGAATCACTTTGGAAGACCGTCTTGGCGCGGAAGTGCTCAAGAGGCTTGAAACCATGGCAGAAGAGTTCGTGCGATTCGAAAGGGGCCAGTTTGGCTTTTTTATCGACCCTGCCAGATATGCCGTAAGGCAGAGGCAGGTCGGTCCGCTCGGACGAGGTAGACGTCGTAAAGTTGTTGCTGGTGTCGACAAGGATGGCAATGTCATTACGGCATGGATTGGTGTTGATGCGAAGAACAAAGGTACAAAGACCCAGGGAGGTGAACTAGTTTCTATTCCGGATGGATACGGAGACGGCGGGACTTTGGGGACTGGGAAGGGAGGGAAAGGGGGTGGAGGTGGCGGTGGCGGGGGTGGAGGTGGTGGTGGAGGTGGTGGAGGTGGTAGAGGTGGCGGTGGTGGAGATGGTGGTGATGGTGGTGATGGGTCTGGAACTGGTGCAGGTGGCGGTGGACAAGGACCGGGTGGTAAAAAGGGTGGGGCTCAAAGTGCAGCTGCTGTAGCGAGAGCAGCTGCTGAGAAAAGAGCTGCTGCAAGCGTAGCCGGGTCACCAGGAGCGCCTGGTAGTTCTCCGTCAGGCGGTTTTGGAGGTCCAGGAGCACTCGATCCAAATGCACCTTCTGTTCCAAAGCCACCAGTCGGGGCCCTTGCCGCCAAGGATAATGAGGCCAGAGGACGGAAGAAAAAGCCCTTGCATTGGGCTAAAGTCCCCAAGAATCTGCTTAATGGAACCTTTTGGACCACATTAGAGGATGGAGGGCTGCGCCTGGTGTTCACCTAATCGATGAGCTATTTGGAGTTGATGTTGCTCCCCAGTTTGCTGTTGAAGTGGAGGAGGCGAAGCCTGAGGTTTTGCAGCACAAGCGAAAGCATAACATTAACATCCTGTTGGCAAACTTGAAGATGTCTGCCGATGAAATCAAAGATGTCGTGCGGGTACCCACATACAAGGATATAGAGTCGTCAACTCTACAGGCCTTATTGATTGTTTGTCCATCTGCAGAAGAAGAACAACTCCTCGTCCAGAACGCGAACATAAGGGATCAGGTTGATAAAACTGATGCCTTCATGATGGACTTAGCAGAACTAAGCGGGCTTCGGGGGAAAATTGTATGTGCCGCCGCTGCGAAGACTTTCAATGATGAAGCAGTTGACGTAATTCGTAACATGGACACATTTGCAATGATTCCAGCCGAAGTTCAGAATTCTGCGAAGCTGAACAAAATTCTTGAAATCGTACTGGCACTGGGGAACTTTCTAAACTCTGGTACAGGGAGAGGAGGAGCGCATGGATACAAACTTGAGGCATTGGCAATGCTTGGTACAGTGAAGGATGCGCGGGGAGATGCCTTGCTAGACTATCTTGTCCGGATGTTGATGCGAGACTTTCCAGGGGTCCTTCCCCTCGATGATATGCCCACTCTGGAACGAAGTGCAACAATTTCGCTTGATGCTATCGGTGAAGAAGTTCAGCATTTAATGGACAGCGTGACCCAAGTGTCTGAACAGATTAATGTGATTGGGGACAATCCGATACTATCTAACTTCAAAGCCGATATGGTAGTTTTTGCTGAGGAGGCTGTTAAAGTGAGGGAAGAGATCGTTTCGCTCCGAGCCCTCATGATGGACAAGCTACAGTCCATGATGGCACACTTCGGAGAGCGAAACAAAGCAGCTCGGGGGCGTCAGGAGGACGTCCTCCGGATGCTTAGAGAGTTTTCAGATGAGCTGAAGACTGGAGTGGCTAAAGCAGAAGAAAAAGCGGAAAGAGAAGCTAAGAAAGCGAAAAAGAACGCTGGCAAGACAGGAAAAGAGCTGGTACCACCGGGAGTGACGGTTGCATCCTCTGTCGAACCTGTTGTTCAAAGAGGAGACTCGGATACTGCAAGCGCACCAGTGAACCAGTAGTAGTCAAAACAAGACGGAATTCACACTAAAGATAACTAACCGAATGTATGTCCTCTTTTGTGTACTAATTTTCGCCGCTCATGCTACAATCTTTACTTGCGACCAATGTGCATGGGAAAGCCCTTTGTCCTCAGTTGCAGTGACCCGTCATGCTTTGAGACTAGAACATCGGGCGGACGTGGGAATGTTGGTGTTCAGTGGTATTGAAGGAATGGCGGGCATCACATTGCCGTTCTCCATAGGTCTGTGCCGAGGATGGTGGACTTGTTTCAAGATGGGCTTCGAAAACGCACATCGATACTCTTGTGACCTGGTGCGCAAAGAATTCAAAATACATGACGAAGCAACATGGCTTAGTTTATCTTCTGTTGGGACGGTTATTAGTACAAACGACATAGGTATCTATTCACATTGACCAGGAAAGTGGCGTACTGTATATTTCTTCGCATAAACGGTAGATCGTGAAGAACCATGCAATGTTGGACTGAGTTCGGGGTGAACGCCATATGCCAGAGGACTTTTTTTCAGTCAAACGGTGATGTTCCAGAATAAAATCCGTATTGTCTAATCAGTAGGGAGTTACTTGCACAAGATGTATTGGTAGGAGTGGCCTGGGCTTGAGTCAGGTTGGCAGGAGGTTTTGTGCCTTCTCTGCATCGCGAGCTGGCTCCTCAAAGATTCTAGCAGTTCGTGAAAAGGTCTCGGATTGTGCTTGTGCCACGTTTAGTGTCCATTCGCTCATGTTGCTGGTGGCGTAGGACACCAAGCTCTGAATTTCGGCCATGAGGGTATCGCTAGTTGCTTTCCACATAGGCACTGCTGATTCCGCCATCGAGTTTAGACTTTCCTTTCGAGCGAGATCCTCGGCGGCTTGGGCCTGGCGCATGTAACGTAAATACTCGGTCTTCTGGGCGATATATCGCTTCTTGAGTGGGACAATCTTGCCGTTGTATGCCTCATCAAAGGTGCGTGACAGATCGGACATAGGTGTGGACATATCCAGCGCGAATCGCGCGACAGCGTTAGAAGCTGACATCTGGGCTTCCCCCAAGCCCCGTTGCGCGTCGATACGTGCCGGAGAGAGCTGCTTTCGGAGCAGGGCGAGCAAGTTGTCGTTCGGCGTGGCAAGAATGGTAGCGATGGCGGCCTCCGAACGTGCGACGTCGAGCAGGCGGGTGCGATGTTGGTCGACGGCGGAGGCGACAGATTGAAGCATTGTGCGGAGTTCATCGAGATCCAGCAGGGCGTCCAAAAGGCGCTCATCGTCCTGGTAGACCTCGCGGCCGGGTTTGAGACCCATCTGCTGAATGGATTGCTCGAACGAGCGCTTCGCCATGGCGACCTTAGGCTGCAAGGCGACATTCATGTTGGTGGAGGCGCGCTTCATGCGGTCTTGGATGTCCTTCATCCAGGACGACTCCATCGTGCGGCAGGGAGGTGGGGAAGGGGTGCGGCGAAGGCGGAGGGGGGATGGAAGGGGCGGTGTTGGGAGCGCAGGACGAGCGCAGGGTGGCAAACTGGGTGAGGGTAGGTATCTCCGGTGGGCTGTTCAAGTACAGCGGGTGATGGCAGGCAGGAGAGGTTGGTGACGGCACACGGGTGATACGTAAGTTTGGCGTCCCTTTCCAAACGGAGACAAAGACATGGGAGCATTGGCAACTGGGCACACCTTGTTGCTTTTGACGCTGCTGGATTATTATCAAGACATCTGTCTCACCATTACATCCGAAATTGGTCTGCCATTACATTTTCGAGAATGTAGTTTCTTCGAAAAGACACATGAACCGACACGTGTACGGTAAGCTGAGTACCTGAGCATACCTGAGCATACCTGAGCATTGCATGTCTGCATGCAATGCTCGACTTTCGACTTTCTACTCAAAAACTACATTAGAGCGATTTTCAAACGGTGCCGTTTCCCGCGGAATAAATCCGCCTCAGTTGTCCAAGAAGAGGGTTTTCCATACCCCTTCTGCCGATCAAATGTATGGACTTTCCGCTCGCGCAGGACACCCCCTCGATCAAGAGCTCCTTTTTTTTATGGTAACCTGACTCATCTCGACAAGTGCCCGTCCACCCCGCCATTCAGCAATATCCAGCCCCTGCGAAACCATGTCAACAGCAGACGGCGACATGGTCGACAGCGGAGACATTAAAGATGAGGACTTCTTGCAACTGCTCGACAGCGATCAACTCCTCTACAGCCTCGCCACTCAACCTCAACCCATTCCGCCAAACTCTGCAATTCATTCGCCCTCTCAGCAAACGTCAGAGGGTGACGGTCCGTCTAAAACAGAACAATCCACTGTGAAAAAAGAAGCAAAAATGGACTTAGCTCTTGTCAAGATCGAACAACAGGCCGATCAACAGCAGCCTACGCATGTCTCTGGCGCTGCGATATCTGTTGCATCGGAATCTTCAGTCAATCCTGCGGCAGTCCTAGCCCCTCAGGCAATGCTCGATGCGCGCCAGCGTCGCCGCAATATCACAGCTGAAATTAACAAGGCTTTGGAGCAATGGAGGCCAACACTCAAACAACCGTTCGGGGAAAAGCCGCCATGCACAGTGAATACCATCAACGAAAATTCCTTTCCAAAGCCCAAACGGAGAAAACCCAACTTTACACAATCCGTCCCAGCTGCAAACCTTGAAAATTTTCAATCAAGTCGTAGTCGTCAACATGAACAGAACACCCCCTCAACCGTGAAAGAAGAACTACAAGATCAAATCAAAGACCAGACTCAACAGTCACAGAAAAATGCGGAAACCAAACAAAAGGACCTAAGCAAAGAAGAGGAACACAACGAGGACGAGGTAGACCATTTCGTTGCGGACCGGTATCAAGCAGAAGCAATTCGGGCCGCAAAACAAGGCGAAAGCTTCCTGTTAACGGGTAGTGCAGGAACAGGCAAGTCTTTCGTTTTAAAGCACGTTATAAGCGTGCTTAGAAGCATGGGTAAGGTGGTTGGTGTCACAGCGAGTACAGGCTGTGCAGCAGTTGGAATTGGTGGGGGCACCATTCATTCATTGAGTGGTGTGGGTATTGGGATGGACCCAATTGAGAAATTGGTGCGCAAGGGGCATACTGATCGTGTTTTGCGAAAGAGGTTGAAACAATTGGACGTGTTGGTCATCGATGAGATATCTATGATTGATAGCTTCCTGTTTGATAAGTTAAATGCAATTATTGCTGCGGCGAGGTGTCCACCGCCAAAAAGGGACTCCGGAATCACAAGAGGAATCAGGACACTCAACAGCGGTCCCGGTGGACTGTTCACTCTCAAGCCGTTTGGTGGATTGCAAGTCATTCTATGTGGTGATTTTTTTCAGCTCCCTCCAGTTGCTGCGTCCGATACACGCTTCGTGAATAGCTCTGAAAAGTTTTTTGCGTTTGAGGCAAAAACGTGGAAGAGGATCATCAAGAATACTTATGTCCTACGAGTTGTTCATCGTCAGGCAGATCGACAGTTTGCCGGGTTACTCAACGAAGTACGCCAGGGTGTGGTTTCAGAGTCAACCATGCAGGTTCTCAATGCCTGCCTTGTGAATCCTCTCAAGCCGCTCGTCGAGGTGGAAGAAAATGGGAGGCGCGTGGCATTCACAAAACTGTTTTCATACAGACGGCAAGTAGCGAGTGAAAATTCATCGCAGCTGAAAAAGCTGAAGACAAAAGGAATTCGTTATGACGCGTATGATCAAATTCATCGATCGGAGTTAGGAACACTGACAGCTCGTCATGTCCAACAAATGTTAGATAACACAAACTGCGCCCAATCTATTGAGTTGCGACGTGGATGTCGCGTGCTTTGCACGAAAAACCTAGACACAGGGCTTGGTATTGTCAACGGCGCCCCGGGAATTGTTGTAGGTTGGTCCCGACCACTCATAGAGGTTTACCAGAAGCGTAAGGTCGAAGATCCTAAACTCAGGTTCGATCGCTTCGGACCGCAAGACCTCAAAGACACGGAAATCTTCGAGTTGGACAACCCTGGAATCAGCCAAGCTCTGGAAACTCAAGCCCGAAGTCAGGACGACTGTCCGGTCATGTCTGGTCGTATGCTGGGCGAGGTGCTTCCAGTAGTTTTGCTTGATAACGGGCAACGATGTCTGATGGAACCGGTAGACTGGGAAGTGCATGGGACAAAAGGACAGGTGGTCGGCTTCCGCAGACAAGTTCCATTAATTCTCGGATGGGCTCTCTCCATACATAAAGCGCAGGGCATGACTCTTCGCGATGTTGAGACTGACGTCGGAGGCGCTTTCGATTATGGTCAAGTGTATGTCGCACTCTCGCGTGCCACAGCTGTTAAAAAGCTGCGATTGCGGAGCTTTAATCCAAGAAAGATTGTCACGCATCCGAAAGTCACTGAATTCTACGCAGCGTTGGATAGGACGTCGTCACCTAGATAAAAGCGCCGTGCGTGAGGCTGTACCATCGACAAATGTGAGCATTTGTTGGGTGGGAATCGAGGTAGATAGCGCAAATAATGTATTTGACGGTTCGGCAGCAATACGCAACCGCCCATTTGAGTGCGAAGGACGGAGCGCATGTCGAGGTGCGGTGGACAAGAAAGATGTGTTTTTCTTGATTTTTGTGTCATGAAATCAGTTTTATATGTAAGAGGAACATTAGTACATGAGCCCGGCTGGGCCTTCACACAATGATGTGAAGAAACCAAAGCCCTCGGCGGCGAGCAACTTGCCATCACCCTTCACTCGCCGCTGAATCAACTGAGTGTCCTGCTCATGCCAATCCGGCTATTTGCAATTCCGCGAACATCGTAACCCCCATAGTAGCTGGGGATTGAACAACAGTAGCACCAGCAGCTTCCAAAGCGGCGATTTTGTCTGCGGCAGTGCCCTTTCCACCAGCGATGATGGCCCCCGCATGCCCCATCCTCCTCCCTGGTGGGGCGGTAATGCCCGCGATAAAGCTAACAACCGGCTTCTTCACCGGATGGCCTTGCAAAAAGTCAGCAGCTTGTTCCTCCGCCTGCCCGCCGATCTCTCCGATCATGACGATGCCCTTCGTCTCCTCATCCTGCAAAAAGTAGTCCAAGCAATCAATAAAATCTGTACCATTAAACGGATCACCGCCAATCCCTACGCACATGCTCTGTCCAAGTCCAACGGCCGTCGTTTGATGCACAGCCTCGTAGGTCAGCGTCCCCGATCTAGAAACAACACCTATAGACCCCGGCGCATGAATATGCCCTGGCATGATGCCGATCTTGCACGCCCCAGGCTTGATGATGCCCGGACAGTTGGGACCTATCAACCTCGTTTTTGTGGCATCCTTCATGACGCTCTTCACGCGCACCATATCCCTCTGCGGAATTCCCTCCGTGATGCAAACGACGAGGGGCATTTCGGCCTCAACGGCCTCTTCGATGGCGGCGGCAGCGCCGGCGGGAGGGACGAATATGACGGAGGCGTCGGCGCCAGTTTCAGCGCGGGCTTCGGCGACGGTGGCGAAGACTGGGCGGTCGAGGTGGGTCTGGCCGGCCCGTTTCGGGTTTGTGCCGCCCACGACGTTGGTGCCATAGGCCAAGGCCTGCTCCGCGTGAAAAGTGCCTTGCTTGCCGGTAAAGCCTTGGAAGAGCACGCGCGTGGCGGCAGAGACGGCCGGGGCAGGCCGCGACGAGGCGGCGCGCGCGAGGGAAGAGGCGACGGAGGCCATTTTGGAATGGGGGAGAGGGGGAATGGCGCGCGCGAAAGGGAGAGGGGAGAAAAGTAAGCGGGATTGGGAGAAGGGATTGATGGGGTGAGAATGAGGATGCGGGCGTTGGCAAACAATCAAGGATAAGTAATGACACGTCGTCACGCGTGGCACGGAGGGGGGTTCCGAGTTTCTACAGCGGTGCTACAGCAAGGCCCGTGGTGAAAATTGGATCTGGCAGGAAATTGGATCTGAAGATTTGAGATCAAATTGCAACGCACATGGTGGCTGACGCAAGCAAGGCATTACACGGAGGGGTTGATCAAGGTCTACATCTCTTCGACGTGGAAGATACCGGGATAGTAAAGCTGAGTACGAGGGGTAAGTCCGCGATGCCTCGTAACTATCCGCAAGGACGCAGGTCATGCGGAAAGTGGAATAGAGAAGGGGCGAGCGAAGAACAAGAAAAGATTCCCTTGGGCGCGAATAAACAGCGCGATTGAAAACATTAGTAGTCATAATTTACAGACAAGACTCGCCGCGCGTAACCTTTCGGTGCGCAGGCGCTTGCAGCGGCAGTTAACTCGGTGGTAGAAAAAACTAGTAGTTTGTAGTACGTAGTGACACAAGAAATGTCTTGACGACCGGATGGCGAAAACACGGTGCGTCATTGAGCGCGGCGAACTGAGGCTTCGGACGCGACGAGCTTAGCCTTTTGGCGAACGACGGGGGAAGGGACAGCGGCGTGGGTCTTCTTAACGGCATAGTTCTGAAAGCCGGAGTATACGAGAGCCGAGCCGAGGACCAAAGGGGCGACGACGCACGACAGCGACTCAGGGCAGGCGGTGAGGACTGTGCCAAGCAGAGATATGAAGCGGGTAGCAAAGGCAGAGACGGGGACGAGTGGGGGAACCAGGGTGGCGACGACGAGGCGAGGTGGTGGGCGCGAGACGCGCGAGACGGGCTTCCGGCGGCAGACGGCGGCTGAGGAAAACAACATAGTACGAGAGGGTGGTGCGGGGGTGCGTTGCGCTGAGTGGGGAGGGGAGGGTGTGGCAGAGGAGGGGGGGCGGGTGAAGGGGATAGCGGGGACGGAGGGGTGGTGTGGGGGTGGTTCGTTAAGTACTGTAGAGAAAGGGGCACAAAGCGGGGGGAACAACGTGTCCACCACGGCGCCCCTTGCTGATGGTGCCCGGCGTCGGTTTTTTGGTGTCGGAGGAGATGAGCACAGGACGCGATCCATAAGAAGGGCGCACGTGTACAGTGGAAACAGGTGGAAGGGGCGAATGTGCCTGCGTCTCGGTGGCGGATGTGCGGGCCAATGAGGAGGCGGGTGCGGGGCGCGCAGATTTGCATACCGGCATGGCACGAGCCTATTGGGCGGGCGTGTGCATCCACAGCAATCTCAGGGCGCATTTGCGCCAGGTAGACCGCGACGCAAAATCTTTGCGGCGGCCACCCCCGACGTCGAGCGCACACTTGTGCTGTGTGCAGCGGGGCGCGTGGTTTCCGACGGCGACGCCTGGACGCGCGCCGCAAGCGGTTACATCACTGTGCAAAGTATTTGCACACCTACCGTTGATGCTGGACGCATGTTCAGGGCGCTGGCCAGTGATTTTGCAGCGGCCCGGATATTAAACATGACATGGGACCGCGCGCTGAAGTGCTGACGGTGAAGCAGCGGGGGCTTGCAACGCGACAGGATGTTGGAAGTGGGGCGGCGTCTGAAGACACTCCTGAACCTATCAATCGCATTTGTATATCAACCCG